TCTTGCTGCCTGTGATGAGCTCATAGACATCTCTAGCATCTCCATACATGTCCAGAGGCATCTCTGGATTTCCAGCTGTCTGGATCTTGATGAGGTCCTTCAACGATGGAGGATGTTGAGGATGGAGCATCTCGCTGAGCCTGATCATACACAATGTTGCAGATTCCAAGGCGTTCACCATGGCTAGTGTCTCACCATGTGATGTGCTGTAGCTCACCCTCTTGGCTTTTGCTCCATGTGAATGCAAAACATGCATTACTCCTCCATGCATTATGACGTAAAATAGCAGATAAGACAGGGGCCTCTTAAGCTCGCTTAAAGCTCGCCCAAAACTCGTTTTCAAGCTCGCTTAAAACTCGCTTGTGCTGTGCTGATGTCCAATGGAAGCTCAAGAGCCAACAGGAAAGTCCAAAGCAAATTCAACTGATCATTAAAAAGTTCAAGCAAAACTCAGGGAAAGTCCAATTAAAGCTCGCGCAAAAGTAGTTTCCCGCGGCGTGAGCGTCGTGGTGAGTTCGGTGCTAGTTTATTTCGAGCTAAGCTCGCAGAAAGCTCGTGAAAAGCTCGCGCGCATTCAGTTTTTGAGCTTCGATTTGAGCTTTTGTCTAGTTTTCTTCTACCAAAGCTCGTCAAAAGCTCGCGCAAAGCTCGCCCAAAACTCGCTGAGCGGGCGCTTCCCTGGTTTCCCTAGCTCCTTGAGTTTCGCTTGAGCTTTCCTTTGAACCTGTGAGTTTTGCTTGGACTTTGCCTCGAACTTTTGAGTTAGGCTTGGACTTGCCTGGTGAGAGGTGAGTTTTGGTTGGACTTTTGAAGTGGGTTTGGACTTTTTTATATTTTTATTTTTAAGTTATAGACCCCCTTGTCTTATCTAGCTATTTTACATCATAATCCATGCATGAGTTCGTGCTCCTCAGTCTCGCAGGTGTGCTCAAAGTCAATCGTGATGTTCCGCCATTCGTCATCGGCCAAAGCAATGACTACACCTTCCTGGGCATAGTTCCGGCCCTTGCTGGCTGCCGAAGCATCATGAAAGCAAACTAGTCGTCGATGCTTTGTCCTGAAGTAGCGGTAGTGCAAACCAACATCTGCAAACTCCTTCACCTTCATGAGCACATTGTTTGCCTGCTTCAAATCCTTGACCTCTGCTACTGTCACTCGTGATTGTAGTGCTGAAACATCCGCAATCACGTCCAGCCGTGTCGCTGTCACCCAAAGAAGTGCTCCTAGGATGGATCGCAGATCTGAGACTTCTGCTGGTGTCAATCTGGAATCATCTTCTCTTGCAGGGACAGGTGCAGGTGTAATCTTTTCTGAAAACTCCTGCTGGCTGATCATGTAGCCGTCTGCAGTACGAAGGTACTCACAACCACAATGAGTGAATGGCAATTGCTGTCGTGTCACTTTGCCAAACTTCTTGACAAAGGAATCATATGCATCGTCCAGCCACTCAGGCGTTCCAGTGATCGCCAAGTCATCCACATGCGTCGTGACCATTGCAATGTTCTCACCATCCTTCTTCCATGTCCAACAGTTCTCATCTAGGTGAGATGGTTCCGCGCCGCTTTCTCGGATGAAATCATGTAGAGAAAACTGCCAAGCCAATGGAGCGTCATTCAACCCATAAACAGGCTTCAAACATAGCAGTCCATAGTTGTGCAACTCTCGTTCAGGAACCTTGAACTCGTCAGAGAATTCCGCCAGATGTCGCCAAACATTAAGTGGAGGAAATATCACCGCCATGCGGACAGGCGCTTGAATGCCTTTCTTCTGCAGGGTCTTCCGGATCTTCTCAAAGTCAAAGCCCTTGAGAAATGCTCCAGCAATGTCCAAGCTTTCCAGGCTCATCTTGCGTGACCATGATGCTCTGGATACCAGGATCCTTTGGCTTAGCCTTGTCGCAGTCGTTGACCTTGTCGTGAGCTCTCCTTTCTGTCCATCCAAACAACCACGCGCACAAAGTCGAGACTTGATGCGAATGCTCTTGTCAGGATAGCGCTTTCGCTTGCGAACCCACCGTGCATCAATCTGCACGTACTCTCCTGTGATCTTCATCTTGTGGATCTTTGCGAATGCTTTCTCGTCAACAAACTGCTTGATCTCGTTGCGATCAGCTTCTTCAACAGCAGGCCAAATGTCGGCCGTGATGTCTGCTTCTTCAATGTTGCGAGTCTCCTGATCTACCTGGTAGATCTCTGCAGTTCTGAGGCATGCGTATGCTTGATGCGTCCTTTTGTAGTGGAAGTGGAACAATTGAGGAAGCTTCTCTTTCTCCCGGAGATGTTTTTCCACCATGAACTGATTGCATACTTCTGACCACATGTGACAACCTGTCAACCAATCATGTCCACAATCGATCTGAATGATGTGGTTCTCAGTCATGTTGACATGCAGGTGTCGTAGAAAATCGAGCTCTTTCTTCACATTATATATGCGCTGCCTCTTCTTCTCGGGTGCCATGACCACTGTTCTGGTCTCTGGTGCATCTCTCTTCTCGCCTCTGTCATCGGGAACGTTGACGTCCATCTTGTCGTCATCCTTGTTGATGGTCGACTGACTTGCTGGCTCTTCCACAGGATCAGGATGATAATGGAACAAGTAGATGGTGCACATCTCTTCACGAGAGTAGTTGGAAACCCTCTTCATCTTCAAGAATCCGTCGGAGAAGTGCTCTTGCACGGCGTAGCCTTGTCCTCCATGAATCCATGAGATGAGATGACCAACTGTGTTCGATGGAGGCTTGATGTTCCGCAAGCTTCGTCCAAGTAGAGCTCCATGGACTTGATGCTTGCTCAAACCTTTGTAGATGTGCTGCACCCACAACATGATCTTCGTTGCATGATCATCCTCACGAGGGAAGAATCGCCACTTGCCATTTCTCTTCAGCCAACCATAGATGTTCGTCTTGTATTCTGTGAGGCTTTCGACAAATCTCATCAACTTCCTCAAGGCATCTTCTGTCTCCATGTTCGGCAAGGTGAAGTGGAAAATGCCCTTATAGGATCGGATGTGTCTGAGTGCTACCAGATATGGCTTTCCTTGATATTGGATGATTGCCACACCGTCATCAGCGTCCAGTCGTAGCAACAAAGCAGGTCCACGCCAGCCAGGGTCGTTCTTCACCTCTCTGTAGAATTCAACCTCTGATGTGCCAGCAATGAGCTGGTCGAGGTCGAGCTGGTGTGTCCTGGTTCTGGCTGCTCGTGCTACACGATCTTCAATCACAGCTTGATGAGCTTGTGCAAGTGCTGTTTGCCGGATTCTCATCGCCTTCTCAAAGACAGTGACATCTGTCTCCTGGGCTCCAACAACACTCATAATGCCACGGCTCTCAGGATCATAGAAGCCATTTGGAAGAGTGCCAAACACTGCCATGGATGGTGTCACGCCACCGTAGGACAGGGTGATGTTGTGAGCCATGCAGCTCTCCTGAGCTATCTCTTCATTCTCTGGCGCGAGGCCTTGTCGTTGAAGTTCTGCTCGTAGCTTGTACATGGTGAGCTTCATCAGACCCACATGTCGTTCCACCAAGCCAGTGCCAGTGTGCTGTTCGGCTCCATGTCCTTGTGTTGTGCCACGTGGCGCACGCTCAATGGAGAGTCGTTCAAACTCTGCTGCAGTCTCATGTGACATCAAGGATACTTGTTGATCGAGAACAAGTCGCCGAGGTGGTCCAAAGAGAAAGATCCATGCCTTCTTAAATGCCGTCAGCAAATCGTCAGATTCTTGTCCTTCAATCGTCGTGCACATTTTGAAGCGAGTTGCTTCATCACAAAGAAGCATGAACCAGGTGTTCTCCCACATGAATAGGTCCATCTGTACTGATTCATTGAAACTGCTTGCTCCTCGTGCTCGAACTTGTGGACGATTGGGAAGTCTGACATACTTCCTGCAGATGGCACAGCATTGAACCGCCTCAGTCGCCAACTTGATGACTTCAGGTGACATTCCAGCTTTCTGCAGTAAGTTTGTGAAGTCGGAGATCGGAGAATGCCAAAGCCGCTCGTGAAGACCAAGTAGGAGTTGCTTGACCTTCGTGTGGTTCTCGTCTTCCATGAGCTTAGGAATGCGAACCAACACTCTTCGCAAGTTGTAGTTCGGCTTCAATGGCTTGATCTCCTCAACTGACTTTGTCTGCAGTTCTTCATCTTCATAAGGTGCAATCTGAGTTGGATCTCGTTCAGCTGGGTCTCCTGGTCGATCGAGTACTACTGGAGGTGTCAAAGGTGCTCTCTTGAGATCAGCTATGCTCTTCTCATCCATCTCGTCGAGGTTCTGGGCAGGCTGCACGATACCAGGTTCATCAGGTCTTGTTCTTGGCCTTGATGCTGGTGTTGATGGCGAAGGTGCCATATCGTGCTCCACTCCATAGATGGTGATTGCCCAGTCATCCTCGTCGAGTGCTGCGTTGATCTGGCTGAAGCTCATCTCTCGCAAATCTTCTGGAGGGTGAATGTCCCATGCTTTCACATTGCCTCTCACTTGCATCCGTAGGTATGATGATGTCAATGGAAGCTTCGGCTCTGCTGATGCAAGATGGAAAGGTCGGAGTTCAATCTTCACTCCTTTGACTTGGATCAGGTCCTTGAAGAACTCCTTGAAGAGGCTCATAAGCATAGGATTGTCCAGCCAGTGAACATAGTCGATCTTCCTTCTTGCTGCTTCATTGAAGACACCCATAGTGGCGTTGATGGTTTCGAGGAGGAGCTTCTTGAGCATGTGTGTAGTTGGCACGGAGAGCGCTTTGCTGGTGAGGTTCTTGATCTCCACGCCCTCATAGAGCTCCGCCTCGGCCTCTTGCTTCCACTTCTTCATGGCATCCATTTCAGCTTCAAGCTTCTTCTTTCTTCGTGGATTTTCTTCGGATGGCCATCGTCCATGTCGACACTGTCCAGGCACCAAAGTGTGCTCTATGTTGCGAGGACAATGACGTCCAAGCTGGCATCGGACACAATCATAGTAGTGACCAAGCGTCACTGCGTAAGCATCATGTGGCCAAGTTTTCAGCTTGACTTGAGTAGGTTCATGTAGGCCAGGTACTGGATGATGTCCTGCTTCATGCGCTGGCACATTCCTTTTGGGTAGACTGCTGACATCGAAGTCCTGGTCAGACCAGATGGGCCTGTGCCTTTGAGCTGAGTGTGTGGAACACCGCAATGACCTCCGCATCGAAGTCCAGTGTGCTTCCAACGAATGTTGGATCCAAAGCCAGTGGGCTTCATGATGGGGTAGCCGCGTTCATCTTGAGCTCCATGCATGCACTGGTCCACTCTCTGTCTGCTCTTGTTGCCAGGAATTCGTTGCAGTCGTAGAGGATTCTCTGGAAGTTCTTGCCATGATTGTGCTCCATAAGGTTGTTCTATGTTGTAGCCACGGCCATTGGCATCTTGTCGTGCAGAAAGATCTTGACATAGTTGTAGAGCTGGTCTATCTTGTAGACGTTCACACATCTTCTCATCAGGATCTTTCGTAGATGCCGCAACTGACCATGGTGCACAGTCCGGAGACATATGAAGCACTCCAGGTTGGAACTCTTCGTAAGCTGCGTGGATCATACCACGATGGCTTGCTACCCGCATGTCCCAGCCGTACCGGTAGTCGACGGGGAAACCAACCATGAGTCCAGCAAGAAGCAACGTCAGCGACAATCTTCCACTGCCACTGAACAACTCCCAGAAGTGCCATCGCAATCCTCGTCCTCGAACTCTCTTGAACCAGCTGTCAAAGTTCTTGGGAGTCACCGGCGTCAATCCGCTCTTGGTGTAGAACTCCTCAGGGATTGCTTTGTATCGTTTCTTCAACTTGGCTTGATCTGCCGTCTCGGGGATCATGTCGCCAGTGTAGCTGAGGAAGACGTTCTTCTCTTCATCATAGCTTGCCTCACGTAGGCCTTGTTCATCATGAATTGCCGGGGCCAAAATGGCAGGTCCGGCAGGGTGCTCGTTGATCAAGTGGTTTGAATTCTTCGCAGGCTCTTTGCTCTTGTCGTTCTTCATGCACTGCTCTGCCAAAATGGCTGATGGTGAAACTTCGTCCTCGGAGTCGCGCTCTTCTGCAATTGGTGATAGGCTCTTGTTCTTCTCGCTGTTCATGAGGTCGTAGGGCTCCTCGGACTTCTTCTGCTGTTCCTCATCTATGAAGTGAATCTTCCTCGAAGGAACAGGATTCCGTAGTTCATCTTCTTCTCCATTCTCGCAAGCCAAATGATCACAACCAACATCATGATCTTGCCTCTTCATTGGGCCTTTGTCTCGTTCATGTTCACGATTGTAATCACACCGGTCATCCTCTGCCGCCGTCTGGGAATGGAAGCAGTGTCTGACCCGTGGTTGCACGTCAGGCCAAACTTTCGAAGTGATCTCGGTGATCTTCTGGAAGAAAGCGATGGCCTCGTGCTTCGAAGCTCTTGGAACCTTCTCGTTCTGAACGTTGTCACAAGGCAGGATGTAGTGTCCAGAATCTGTGAGCAGGATCCTAAAGAACTTCACGTGATTGACCTCTGCATCCATGGCGTCCTTGGTGTTCAGAACAAGCATGCCATCACCATTCTCAAACCAATCTGTCAAGATTGATGCACCCAATCGACGAAGAGTCGGGTTGCCAACCAGTGCTGGGCATAGGCTTCCAGCTCCACCAATGACCTCCGCCGTGTAGGTGATGGGTTGTCCTGCGGTCGCCATGGTCAACGTGACCTCTCCGAGAGTTGACTCGCTGTTTCCTGAAATGCCGGAAACTGGAGTGATCTTGTTGCGGTTGATCTCCATCTCGCCCATGGAGCAACTCTTGAGCATCCTGAGGGTCTCGCTACCAACCAGCCCGGATGCAGCTCCGGGATCGATGAGCAGACCATAGCGTTCTTGCCCATGGATGGTATGGTAGCTCATCTGTGTCTCTTCTTTCTTCATGTTGAAGACCATGAAGTTCATCTTGAGCTTCTTGTCATAGTGATCCTTCGTAGTATACTCAGGCTGACCTGAATATCCCTCAGTTGGCTTCTTGAAGTCCTCATCCTCGGATGACGTGTGGATCACGAAGCTCTCGGCCTTCTTGGTCGTCTTGACCTCCTTGGAGCTTGTGGCAACTTCTTGCGGAGTTGAGGCATCAGGAATGCCTTCGCTGATCGACAGACCACCACGAGGCTTGTAGTTGTCCTCCTCCTGGTAGGCGTAGTAGTGGCCTTTTCGACCAAAGCCTTTTCCTCTTCCTTTGCCTTTGCTTCTCCAAGGATACTTGCTCTTGCCTTTGCTCTTTCCTTTGAAGTTGGGTCGCCATCTCCAGAAGCCTTTTGACTTTCCTTTTCCTTTGTAGTTGTGGCTGCCCTTCTTGTTCTTGCCCTTGCCAAGTGGACAATCTCGAACTCGGTGGAACTTGCTGCCACAGTTGAAGCAACCGTCGTCACTGCCATTGCCTTTTCCTTTGCAATAGGCTTCGTTGTACTCGCCCGAGACATTGGAGTCGCTTGCTGAACCAGATGTCATGCCAGCCTCAAGGTCCACCTCTTGCCATGACTCATCGCTGGCATCATGGTTCTCATAGTAGTTCTCGTCGTTGGCGTACTCCTCATAGACCCATTCACCTTCATCGGCCTCTTCATAGCCATACCACCATGAATCCTCGGCCTCATAGTCATCGCCCCAGTCCTGGTAGTAGGCGTCGTAGTCGCCATAGGACTCATCATTCTCTTCATAGAGGATCTGGGCGTCATCAGGTTCTCGCCGATTAGGGTTGATGCGCAATGCCAGAGCTCGAGCGTCGTTGAAGCGAGTGTAGTCGCCAGCAACCTGCAGTTTGATGTCATCAACCGTCTTGGATGGCAAGCCAGAGTTCTTGAACCATAGGAAGAACTTGCCGACATCGTTCAACTGCAGTCCAGCTCTGTCATGAGCATCATCGTACCGGCTGTCGAACTCGACGCTGTATTCGGACAGGCTGAGCTTTCCTCTTGCAAGGCCAAAGAACTTGTCCAGTGCTTGTGTCGCCAGATCTTGGTCTTGCTGACCGAATGCCGTGCGGAGTGCATTGGCCAAGAATTGCACTCCTGAGGGAATGTGGTTCTGGATGATCACATTGGTCGCTGGGTCGCGGACTTCATCCACAGCTAGTCGAACCAGCGCTGCATCGCCAACATCGAAGGTGCCGTCTGGCCTTGGCACTCTCAAGGACATGGCGATCGTGGATGCTCGACCATATAGTCGTCCAGCCACCAGTGGACCGATGGCTTCATCCTCCACATTGGCGATCCGGTACCAAAGCTTCAGCTTGTCGAAGTAGGTCCTCAAGGGATACGAAGCATCACCTGGAATCCAGCCCGGCGGAATGTCCCGCCGATACTCCTGGAGCGGAATGCTCCCAGAGCTGGGTGGATTCATAGTCAAGCAATCTTGTAATCGATGGAGTCCACGGGGCCTGTGATGAGGTTCTCAAGGATGTAGTATTTATTCCTCTTGGGTTCAACCCCAAGTGAGGTAGTTTTCTGTGTTGTTTGTTCCTCTTGGGTTCAACCCCAAGTGAGGTAGTTTTCTGTCCTCGTCAGAGCCTTCTGACTTCTCTTGTCACCGACCGAGCAGGATCTCGATCTCCTCCTCCAAAGGCCCTGCAGACCAGAGCCTACCGCGCAACTCGCGGTAGCAGCCAAGCCGAGCGCCAGCAGCCTATGGCGGCGCTGGATCGGCAACGGAGCACTAGGCTCCGCTACCAAACTCGACAGATTTGTGCCTAAGGCGCCTGCGGTATCGTGTCATGTGAAACATGTTCTACACTTGATCATAGCCATAAGGCCGTGAGGCATGAACTCAGAATTTCACTCAACCCAATGTATACAAATATGCCATACATGGAGTGTCTGGGTTATATTTTTTCTCCACTTGACGATGGGTGTGTGTGTATATGTGTGCGGTACTGTGTGCGGTTCTGTGGGCACAATCATACATCACAAAGCTTGTTTTGTTCGTGGTTGAACCATGTTTTTCACACGTTTCTACTGTTTCTCCTCACATTTGGGCAGAACATTGCATGGCAAAGTCTATTCAATGTAACACTTTGCTAAAGATTGCCTGCCTCCAACATTCACGGTATCAGCCAGCTATCGACGACTCCGATCAAATCTCACAGTTGAGATAAGTTCAAGCAGCTTCAGCATCTTAGCAGCTTAGCCTGGTCATGTCTTTTCCCAAGTCTGAACCAGTCACGGTACCCAACACAAATGAATATTCCCAAACTCTACAAGAAGTAAGAAGCAAGAATTGAATCTACTGTCACTGTCGCCGATGCCCACAATAACTATCTACTGGCAACATTGATATTTCGAGCATACTTCAATCTAACTTCTCTTGAACAAACTACCGAAGGTCGCAGCCAAGTAAAGGAGGCTTGTGCAGTCAAGTGGCTTTTCACAGCGGCCCTCGGTGTTGTGTGGTCAAGCAGCAGAACGAGCAAGTCTAGCAACAACCAGTTGCTACCAGTAGCAGGTGCAGTGATGAAAGGGAAAATAGGTGAACAACCAGTGGGTTGTGACGGCCATCATTCCACATCCACATCCTCGACTACAAACAACTGCCACAAGATGTGTATTGCCTGCATAGCAGGTCTGCGAGAGAATCACTGGGCACAAGCTGTGCAGGGTCTTTCTTTAAGCGGCTGATCTGGGGCAAAAGACCGTGCCATAGCCCTCTGACGTTATGTAATTTCACAAAGGGGTGGCTATTGGTGGTACGGGGGGGCCCATTATCCAGTCACTTACAGTAAGGACTAAACGCAACCCCTTTGGAACTCCTGGCAGCCAAGCTATGTACTACTATGTACCATCTTTCCCGAACGCTTTTTGGATTGGCTATATCGCTGTTACTTCCATCGGCTGTTGATACCCGTCACTCATCTTCGCACAGACTGGGAAGAGATGGCAGAATCAATTTCAGTGTTCCAGGTGATTATCCAAGTGAGTGAGAGAGGGTTCCACCTGTCAGATTCAATCCCAGCTTGCTAGAATCATCACAATCACAGAAGCATCTTCCACTCATGGTAGCTCGATCCAGGATCGTCTACTACCTGTGGATCTCAGTGGATCTCCCTAAGGACCCACAAATGGCCCCGAGCATCGGATCCCGCCGCGCTGAGACGCCTACTCTGGGCTTCCTGACATCTCTTTGTGTGTTGGAGACATCTCCAAGAACACGCCTCCCAACGGCGTTTCCGTCATGGAACGAAGCAATCGGCGGATGAGGAGTCCATCCGGCGGTGGATCGTGGCGGCGTCCCGGCGGCGGGGTCCCTCCCGGGGGGAGAAGAACGGCGATGATCGCAGCGATGCCACACGCCTCGACAAAAGGGGGTTTTCAAGGATGTCAAAGGCATAGAACGCCACCGTGGCAGCACGCTCTTCTCGCGTGTTTCAAAACCGGCCCAGCGGCCAGTGCCCCCACACAGGTGGCACCGGTGGCGCTGAAGGGCCGATCTCGAAGGTACATTCGGAATCGGAGCTATGCTTGGGAGATCGCTTCTGCTGATTGAGTGGTGATGCTGATGATCTTTTTCAATTAAACCCGGTAAACCCCGCAAGAATCCGGTGCAAAAGACATGAATCAATGAACCACGCACTTTCAGTGCACACCAAATTGGCTCGCTTCGGAAGTGGACTTCAGGTTCTAAGCCTGAAACAGGTCGCTCCCCCAGTTTCTGTACTGCGTCCGCACGGCGAAATATCGGTGAAATCTATCCCCCGGCATATCTTTTACAATATATACATATCCCTTCCGATTTCATATATCCCTTCTGAAGCATATCTTGGGTCTATCCTCCCTTTGGGTCTTGACTCCAAGAGTTCAGATCACTCACTGAAACCACCTTCGTCCATCGCATTCCAAGTGACTTCTCGGGGCAGCCACCCTCAGTGAAGCTGCAACTGGCCAGGTGGTGAAGCTCTAGGTGGTGAAGCTCCATGGGTGCTTCAGGTGTGCACTTCAATGTCCGGTGTGCCGATGTGTGCCGTACACGAGTTGGTTTCATTCGCGCCGCGCTCTTCTGAAGGGAAAAGCACCTACACTCATTCCATCTCATTCCCCATGGTGGAGGCGATCGTTTCATGAATTGGGATTCACTTCAAGTGCTTCTTGGTCCATCAATGTCCATCTCATCATCCCCAACATCCGACCATACTAGGCGCTCCGGCGTTCTGGACTGTGTTGGATAAATCGCCCAGGACTCGCCGCCTGGCAGGTCACGCAAGGAAACCTGTCAGGTGGATTCAGGGCGAAATCCACAGGTCGAAGTCCACAGGCACCAGGTCCGTCCGGAGAAATCCAGTCATTTTTGGTGCATGTGGACTCACAGGACTGTGAACAAGGCTCCATCCCTGGCTGACCAAAGTTCTCTTCGGTCGGTCCGAGTCCGGAGACCCACAGGTCTCGCTTTGGTTGGCTCCGTCCGGACCGACGACCGACGGCCCGACGGCCGGTTCCCAAGCAGCTTCCCCCGCTCGGTGACTCAAGGCATCGATTGACCAAGTAATCCAGGAGAAGGTGCAGTATTCATCAGTATTCACATGGGTTCGTGCCATCAACCGCTGGCCACATGATGCCATGCGCCTTGGGGCGCCGCGGGCCCCTTGGGGCCCCAAGTCAAGGCAGTATTATTCAAGACCCGTGCATCCCTCCAAAATGAATGGAGACATCAACGGAACGATTGTTGGTCTTCTTGGAACCAAGCCGGATGACATCGAACTGTGGCGTTTCATGGTCTTTTTGGCAAACCCAACAAGAACGAAAATCGGATGACATCGAACTCCAGCCGGATCGGCCCACTAGGACCCGATGTGTCCACCCCTACGAATTCTGACACCTCGAAACCGACTCCGTGCCCTTGATACATCTCCCTACGTATGTCCAGTTTGACCCAGTAAAACCTGGTCTTTTTATCTCCTTAAGAATTGGTTTTGTATCACCATCCCCAGTAAAATGAGGTCTTTGACTTGTAGGGTCTGGTAGGTTTCGAGGTGTTTTCAAACCCCACATCTGGTATACCGTATGATTCGAAACACCTCAGATCTGGATCCCATGTCGGGCCATCCTGGTCCACCAAAACCGATGGAACCGAACGATGGATTTCCATCTACTTCCAGCCTCTCAGGTCGCCTGGGCCGGAAGGCTGGAAACACTGCTTCGCCGACTTCGCCGGGGGAAGAAGGGGCTGCCGTCCCGCTTTGGGAGCTGCGTCACCAAGAAAGGCTGTATGGAGGGTGACCGTGACTGGCCCAAAGAAGCGTGACCATTCGGGCCATCGCGGCCGAATGGTCAAGGCTTCATCCTAAGGCTTTTTCACACCCCCAAAGCTTCGACCTTCGAACTCCTGCGCAACCAGGGAGGAGTGCGCTCCCCCCAAGAATGACGTGGCGTGACTTCTCTTTGTCTTGGAAAAGGTACCTCTCAGATCCTCTCAGAACCTCTGCAGGTAATTACCTCACTGTCTTTGTATGGCGGCGGAATGCGGCGGACGCAGCGCCGCCGTCCCGGTGAGTTCAGCGTCCCGGCGGGTGCGGCTTCTGGAGCGCCTCGGGTGGGGATGTGGTCGGTGAAGATGTCGGTGAAGAGGGGCCGGGTGTCGGAGCCAAAGCACTGGGAACAGGGTCTCGGCCTTTTACTTAACTGGGTGAGCATATACTACATCCCCTGCAGAGGACCACATGGAACCCCAGAACCACGTCGGGTATTCGGAAAATGGTCGAAACCACCGGTTTTCCTTCTCAGGTTCCATGGGATCGTTTGCGGGTGAGAATCGTCCGATTGGAATCACCTGTGAGAGGTTTTTCGAGTTCCCTGTTCTTTTTTCCGAATTCGACTGCCATTCAAGTCAGCAAAAAACAACTGAGTCAGAGCTGGTTCCTCACGACAACTGAGTGAGCTTGGGCTGAGTGCTGCACGACGACTACTACACGGTGATTCCATTTATTGGTCCTTCTGACTCTATCATTCGCAATCCAATCCAACCTACTGATAGAGCCTCAACAGACCTTCTGAATGATCCTCAATCAGTAGGCGTCCTACTTCCAACCTACTGCAGGTATCAAGTGATTCATTGAGCCTCAACACACCCACCGACTCCCGTGCGGAAGCCACAGGACCGACTCCCGAGCGCCTGATCTCTCGCGGATGTCTGTGCTGTCGCCTGGATGTCTGTGCAAAGTAAATGACTCGTTCAGGTCAAAGACTGTGAGTCTACGAGAAGAAACCACGAAAACGAAAACATACTTGCATAATCTTACAATATCTTACATACCTATATGGTTCTAGGCGGGGCACTTCGGTTCTAGGTATGTACATGTACAAACATGATGTGCATGTGTATTGTAATCGTGATAGTGTCTGTATGCAGAAACAAAGATTTGATTTAATTCTTTTGCCTAGCCAGGAGATCGGAGAGTGGAAGTCTCTCTTTGGCCAAAACGTCATCTACAGCTTGCTGGACAAACTCCAGGCAATTAAACCAATTCCACGGATTCCCTGGTCCTGTCATCAACTGAGAGCGGCACCATCTCAGGCATATGCTGCACACAAAAGCTTAAAAAACTGGGCGAGTCTGGAAATGCAATCAGTAACAAGAAGCTACGAACGGGGCTCCTGGCCGTACTACTAGGAGCAAGGACGCTACTAGGGGCTCCTGGCATCGCTACTAGGAACAAGAAGCTACTAGAAGAATGATTAAATCGTCATCTCCTGTGTACAAATGTGGCACTGGCGCTCATGTTCTTGTTGCTTACTCTTCCGGGGTGATGCGTTTTGTTGGTGCCTGACATCTGCTGTGTGCTGTCTCTACATCTCATCTTGTTGCAGCTTGACACTATAGATACACCGCTAAAAGAAAGAGCGTGCAGCCATGATGTGACTGTCATGACCCAGCTGGGTGTTGGTTGTTGTGAGTCTCAACACACGGGGAGGGGGCCATGTTGTCGTCTGATGCATGAACCAAGCGGAACGTCGAGCATCGTCGCAGATTTCAGCGAAGTTGCTTCACAAAAGCACACCTTGAGGCTTCCATGTAATAGATCTAAATGGACTAAGAATAAGAATCTTCATCAAATCAGTGTTCATCAAACTTTTGCGCCCTGCACTACGGGGGCACGATCTCGCTCCATTTTTCTGCACAAAGAAAAGTAAGGCTTCAGCATCAACTTGAGGAGGAGCGCGCTCGTTTGCGACTTTTCTCCTTGTCCTCCTTGTCCTTTTTGTTCTTCTTGGACTTCTCCTTGTCTTTTGCCTTCTCCTTTTCCTTATCCTTCTTGGATTTTTCTTTGTCCTTCTTCTTCTCCTTGTCCTTCGCTTTGCCTTTCTCTTCACTACTATCACTCTCCTTCTCTTTTGGAGCTTCCTGCGGGCAGGCAAACTGACTGCTTGGCAAGAAAAACACAATATCGGCAGGATGGTCCTTGTCTTGCCACCGAAGCAACCCTCCCTGACCCTCCTTCCCCGAGGGTAACAGTGGATGATGTTGATGGCACGGCCATGCATGAGCCCGAACATGATGTCCCGTGCAAACACAGGAATCCGTCCACATCCGTTTTGCCACGGTGGCCCCACCGAATCGCAGGACTCGCTTTGAACCTCTTCCCGCTAGAGTGGAGGGTCCAGCGTTCACTTGGCGGTTTATATCTGTATCCTACCCTATGCCATGCTGTTCCAAGGGGCATCCCAAACAAAGAGGAGGGGGCATTGGTCGTATCTTGGATCTGTATCATGGTTTAGGCCAACGCCCATCAAACCACACCACAATTGTACGTACATGTAGGCTGTTATGTTGCTGTTTGTACGTCATGCCAGCATGAAATCAGAATCAGCGCAACCCATGACAACACATACCTGATCTTTGTCCTTGCTCTCTGCCGGCGGAGGCCTTGGATGTCTTTGACCATCCCAAGGGTGGGGTGATGTTCTTTGGCCTTGAGAACCAAATTCCTTCAGCCATGTCATTTACGTATTTACCACTACATGTTGGGTATATCCTATTCCCTGGGCCCAGTGGATGATGATGCTTCAGTTGCAGGCCTTTCTCTACATCGTGATGTTCTTGTTTACCGACTGTGACAGGTAATCGCACACCCCCAAAAGTACATGTTGGATCAGGGCAAATTCCCTGTTCGATCTACCAGCATTGGGTCTACGAAAATTGGTTTACGGACATTCCGTCCCAAGAAGTTTGGGACTTATGACCACCCAGCAAAAGCACCAAGAACGCCCTGGACCCCGCCAGGTCCAGGACATGATTGGTGGCACATAGTGGTACCATGAATGAGTGTTCACCCCTCAAATAGTAGGTGTTCATCATCTTGTTCCGTTGTCAGTCGGGTGCCCCGTGGCTACAAGTGCGAAACTGCTTTAAAGTATCGGTGAGCACTGTGAGCACAGGCGAGTGCCTGATGGCTCGTACAGGTTGGTGCCTCAAACCCAATGAGTCTGTCATGATATTGGAATATACTGACTGGTGCCACTTTGCGTGCCGCCCCAGGTCTATGAGATCTCAGGTGTCAAGGTGTGTCCGTTCACCAACTCGAAGAACAATGCTTATTATAGACTATAGAATTTTAGCCCGAAGGCTCAGAGAGAATACTGTACCAAACAAAAATAACAAACAACATGTTTGGGATAAAATGACGGCAAACCAAACACAACACAAATATAATACAGTATATATATATATAAACTTGAGGCCAGGGGGAGGAGGTCGAAAGCTAGCCGAATCGCCGGATGTGCTATTTACATAGTCGGCAAAGCATATAGTGTTTACATGTTTGGGAAAGAGGTTGCTATGTACATACTTTGTGCAAAAGAATGTGACATCGCCGACTGGGAAGGGTACATTGGAACAACCCGGGTGCACTCGTTGGCAGGCACGAAGATGCGTGAATTTACCCCGCTCCTTGAGTCGGAAAGAGGGGTAAGCATTTCTGGCATCACAAGGACTGTACATACACTAGGGCGTCCGTAGTGTAGGATAAGCACTGGTAAAAGGATGGGGGATGCGTTAAAGGGGGACCACGTCCAGACCCCCAGAAGCCATTTTAAATGATTCTGGGGGGTGTGTGAGGGGGGTTGGTGATATTGATTCTGACCGTCATCCACGGTCAGAATAATTTCCTGAAATCTGCAGACATTTCCTGAAATCTGAAATCTGCACCCCCTGAAAAAAAGACTATAAATGATATCAAACTAAAAAACAAAAGCAAATGAAACTCAGACCCATCTTCTCTCTTCTTTTCTCCTTGGCTGCTATCTGTTGTCTCCGTGTCCTTATTTGTATTGTTCTCTGTATTTGATGGACTCTCCATTTCAGTGGTAGAAATCATTACAAATCTGTATGCTTGAGACTCAGGCGGATTCACACCACCTTAAACATGATTCTGGTAGGGGGTTGACACCCCCTATGAACCCCCCTGTCAATAAATGATTCCAAATAAATGATTCTACATAAATGATTCCACCCATCGACGTACCCCCTGGAATATGTTTTTAGCGCATCCCAATGTAAAAGGTATAAGGAATAGAGTGTCTTGAGGAAATAGCCGGTGTATGGTTATAGCAAATCTGGGGGGTGAGTGTGGGAAGATGCATGTCTTGCTTAGCTTTTTCTATACTCTCATCTTTTCTAGAGTGAGCACCAAAAAGGACATATCTGCTTCAACCTTCACGAGAGTTTTCTTGGTCAAGTTGTTTGTCTGGCTTGGCTAATTCAAAGAAGGTAAGGAGCTAGACCAAGCGCAATAAGTTTGATTAACTTCTATCAAGGCAACAAGTTATATGTTCTGTTGGTTTTCTTGTAATGGTTCTTGCTTCTCTTGGTTTGGACAAGATGTCAGCCAAACACACACAGAAATTAAGTCTGTGTTATTTGGACTGCTTCTCGCCTATGATACATAAAACTCTTCAACTAGCAACGCTTCTACTTGAAGCTTTGTGTTCTAAGTCGTTGTAGACTAGGAGCTTGCTGGGGAGATAGGACATCAAAAAATATTCAAAAATAAGGAAAACATATATGGAAGAATAGACAGAGTCAATCATAAAAATAAACACTCATCGGCAATAGAACAACCTGTTGAGATCAGGGCGAAGTTGCTGAGGGGAGTGTGTTGAAGCTCAGGTCTGCATATCTGATATCAATCACTCAAAATAAGCACGAGGTGATGAGAGGCTGCAACCTTTCAAGATTCAAAACCAAACAGTGTTGACCATAGTGAGGACAAATGAATACAAATGGCCTGGATATTTGTGATATTGGACATAGATCAAACTGATAATTTTTGTATATTCTTGTCATTGGTAATTCTTACTATTACACTTTGGTAGTGGGCAATGGAGATTGTCGTCATTGACACTTAATTGGGATGGATCACATTGTGGGCAAAATGGATCTGTTAATTTTGTTGTCATTGACACTGCGCATGGAGATTGGGTATTCGTCTAAGTTTCAGAGAAGTTATTGAAATTCTGCATTGTATTTGCAGTGATTTTGAGGGGTTTTCAACTAGTGTGTGCTCTCTCAGGCAGATTCGCTCTCTAAAGATACTGGGCATGATGGGTGGTACTTCAGCACGGCAACAAAACCAAGAACGCGGCCGAGTCCACACAAAAAAACACCACAGCAACAAACTCCTGAAACTTACACACATCAATTGACCCAATGGTTCAGTGAAATTTCATAAGATCCTCTACAACCAAACTCGAGCAGGCCACATTGCTGGACACACAGTCCAAACCAAGCACGTTTTCCTACCGCCAATGCAACATGTTCACACTTCCAACTGCCCAGGGCACACGCCTCAAACATCCTATATATATAAACTCATGATATATATGTATATAACCAACCAATCTTAGATCTCCTTTGGGAACCACAGTATCCAACAGAATTGTCCATAGAAAACCAAGACTGAATAGGTTCACCTTTGTCGACTTTGCAAATGCAAAATGAACACCCACAAACATGGAACAAAATGGACGTCACAAGTTTGGTTCGCAAACTTGACAAGTCTTCCAAGCACTTGTTTGCGGGGTTTATGTTAAGGTTAGATGGTAGAACGGTGGCACCATCCAAGCGACTCCACTGAATTCATGGGTTCTCCGCAAACCTCCCACTTGTATCCAATTGTGAGAGAACCGGTCCGTCGCATTCTGGATAAGGCATTCTACATATCGCACACGTTCACTGACTCCTTTGGAAAGCACCGAGTGACGGTGGTCCGCGCACACGCAGCTGAAAGCTGCTCCGGCTCTGCGCCAGCTCGCGACAAAGGCTCAGCATGCCCTGCACGGACCGACATCTTCCACGTGGACATGGAAAGGAGTGTGTGATACTTGAACAAAGGTTGGGGCCAAAAGTGCTCAGGCCTCGGGGGCTTCAAGTCCCAAGACTGCTTTTGGCCAGACACTAGAAAGAAGTGCATCATGTCGACACGTGATTAATAGCCCCCCGTGGAGGTCTGCTATATTTGGGGGAATCTTAGAAGGACTGAGCCCTTTTGTTCCCCACCTGTCAGGTGAGGATTGTTAGATTTTACGTCAGCCATCGTCAGCCCCATCTCCTCCTCCGCCTCTGCCTCCTCTACCACAAACACAACCACAAACACCCAACCACAAACACAACCACAAACACCCAACCACAAACACCCAACCACAAACACACAACCACAAACACAATCACACAAACACACAAACACAAACACAACCACAGCCACGATCACAAACACGCAATCGCAAACACACAACAACATACACGACCACAAACACCATCACAAACACACCACCACAAACACAATCACACATACAACCACAAACACACAATCACAAACACACAATCACAACGACGCATCCACAGCACACAACCACAAAGACGCAACCACAGCACACAACCACAAGACACAACCACAGCACGGAACCACAGCACACAACTAATTACAACACACAACCACAACACACAATCACAACACGTTACCACAGCACACAACCACAACGCACAACCGGAGGACCCAAGCAAAATCGAGAACCACAAAACTCACGACCGTGGCAACATGCTCCTCAGCATGGCTTGTAAACACATGATTGAGATGTCATGGTGGGGATCACTCGAAGCAAAGTAATTAATTTTTGGGGGGGTAAATCATGAGTACAGCTCCCGGGAAGACGGAAAATAGATGACCGAAGCTCACTGGCTGGGTTTTGACCCCACAGTGTAAGACTTTACAGATGGTCTACATACTACTGACCCCAAGCCCACTGGCCAGGTAGGTTTTGTGTCTTTTATGTCCGTCCGCAAAAAAGAATTGTTGGTCCGTCCGTCCGCAATGTGGGTTTGCCAATCATGGCTTTTGACAACCCAGGTATTCTCTCTTCCCATCCCATCCACGACCTGGGGCGAATACCATATGAATCCATACATTCCAAGTGGTGGATGAAAAGGGGCCAACGGACGAACCGTCATCCCGATCGGACGAAGTCGCGTCCGTGATGGCCGGACGGTTCCGGACGGTTCACGGAGGTCCCGGGCGCCTCGGCGTTCTCCGAGAAGCCATTGACCGAGACAATGCGGTCGCCCGCATGCACGGACAAGTGCGCGGGGTGCCTAAGGCTGTGCCGGGGGTCCGGGGTGGCTGCGGTACGGACGGAAAGAACGACGGAAACTTCGCTTTAGGCTTTCGCTTGCTTCATGTTCACCTTTTTGGATGAAGATGGATAGCTTGGATAGCTTGATTTTGCAGAGGGTGTATACAGCATACATCTTTTTGATGCACCCTGTGGCAACCACTTCTTTCAGGGGTGAGCCAAAAATGGGGATTGCGCAATAACAAATTGGTTTCGACATATTTTGTCTCACCTTACATATTTGGACTCACGGCATGTGTGGGTGTGTGGGTGGGTGAGGGGCATAACTTCATCAACATCATGCACCATATACAGTAATTAGTTTTGTTCACGGAGATCCTACTTTCTCCACCACACGTCCTTGCGTAAGAATAGGGCAGGCCTTTGGAGGCTACAGGCCAAACACCGAGGACCAATGACTCGTGACTAGAACCCATCAACCCCCAAAGATGTTCCGAACTTAGAACAATATGGCTTGGATCTATCCTATTACCTGTAACAGTGGATGATGATGGTTCAGTTGCAGGCCTTGTCCAAAAATAGTGATCATTGTTCACTGACTGTTACAGGTCAGTTCGGACAGACTCCAAAATATGGCCCTCCAGTATGGCCCTCCAATCTTTCTCTCGCTGCGATCCCACCGCGGAATGTTTCGCCCAGCGACTGGCGGTTCCATTCTTCCACGGCACCCGCTTGTAGATGCCGGACGTACAAGGATTTGCTATTGGCCCAGTCCACGTCCAAGCCCAAACGCGTGTGGAATGACATATCCACTGTGACCTCAGCGGTTTTGAAAAACCATCCTGGGGGAGGTTTCAGGCCTTAAGCCTTAGGCCTCAGGCATTCTTTGTGATACGTGTCAATAAAGGGACAAAGGATGAGGGGGGGTAGGAGTCTGTAAAAAACTTGGATTATGATCAAGTGGCCTTCTGCAGACTGCAAACTCGCGCCCCTCTCTCTCTCTCTCGCCCTCTCTATATACTCTCTATGGAGTTTGAACATTCTTGAACACGTTTGAACTGTGTCAATGTGCTAGCATGTCCTAAAAACGACTCAACGTCAACCTGTTCACTGGTCTCCTTTCCCGGGCCTTTCCCCTTGGTGTGCGGCGTTAAACTCGAAGAACTTCGGCACGGGGGCGGACGTTCCGGCTTTTCCTGCAGATCGAAAGCCCCAGATCTGAGAAGAAGAACGTTGAGAGTTCACACAACACATCGAAAAGCTCTAGGGCCCTCTCTAGGGCTGTATTTCTCGATGGACCTACCTGACCGATCTGCACATCTGCGAATTGGCAATCATACGGCCACTGGATGAGCTTTCCCAACTGTGCAACCTGCCTGTGTCTGCCGCCGTTTGCACTGCGGTCTGCACCGCTGACGTAATCGGTGCCTGCAGTGACTCTTCAGCGAGGTTCAGCTGTTGGAGACTTGGCAAGTGAAGACCTGGGAGTGATGACCTGGTGCTTTTGCATATCTTTGGAGCTGTGCCTGGAGATCACCGATGTAAAAAAACGGCGATTCGCGGCAAACACTGCCGGAAGCTTGCTCTAATCATCTCCAATCCTGATATGAATATCGAATATCACACGACAGTCGCCCTCATCCCGCTGTCCGCAGGCTTGAACAGTTCATAGCTGGTCGCTTCCCTCGAAGATGGGATGGTCACAGTTAATTGCTAGGGCAGGTCGTTCGTGACTTTCAAAGTGGTTCATCAACGTACGACATGTAACATACTGTTGCTACATGTAACATAGACCCTCTGGAGACGCCAAAAAAAAAAGGCCGACACGTGTATCACGTGCATATTGGGTGTATCCCATTATATCCCATTGGGCAACAATAATGGTTGGCAAAGACGTTTCCCCGACATAGTGATCATCTCTGATACACCTCATGTACACATTTAATAATATATTACTTAATTACAGTGCTCCAAATCATTCACTGTGTCAAGGTGTCGCCAAACCTATTTGCCGAAGGCGCCGCGGGGCCAGAATGATGTGGGATGGTTTGGTGTTGAAATCAGGGTCACTCACAGGGTCAATCTGTGAGTTTTCACCGGAACGCCAGTGTTGGACCATGGCGAACAGGGTCAAGCTGGCACCAGGATACCGACCGGGCACGACCTACCTGGTGTCTTTCCTCCTTCGCTCGGTGTCTTACGTCGGGCGAACCATCGTGGAACGACCCATCACCGTGCAGCTCAAGCACCGAAGATCCCGTTCGCACCAGTAGTGACAGCTTCTTGTCCTTTTTGCCTCAGTGATGTTTTTGGGAACTGGCCGACCCAGAAATTCTGCAATGATCTGCAATTCACACACTAACAGTCAAGGCCCTTGGACATTGTTTTCCGGTGGAGGAGAGCACGCTTCCGTGAAGGTAATCTTTGCAAGAAGTCTTCTTATGGATGATCTACCATGATCTACCTACTCAGTACTCTTGTTTTCTTCCACAAACACATTTGTCCACGTGATGTTTTAGATATGACATGAGTTGTGCATGGTGCGACACGTCAACGCGTCAACAAGTGCAGAAGCGCTTCAGAGCGCAAACCGGACACCAGGTATGAGAGATCCCGAGGAACGAGACCAACAACATGAACTCCACCAACTCCAGGGGGTGTGGAATTCCCGGTGTGTCCCGTCTGAGCCAAGATCTCTCCAAATATCTGGTCCCCAGTGGTGCACCATCCGCAGGCAAGGTTATATGAATTAGCTGTATGAAACACTTTATGGCCAGTGCCTTGCTGATCTTAAAGACACATCAAGAACACACACTCACACACCAATGTATTTAACTTTGTAAATTTGCACACATCCAAGTTCTGCCCTCTGCCAGTTCGTGTTCCGCAGGATGAGAAAGGCCAAGGCACAAACCGCCAGCATCGCCTAGCAAGAGCCCGGGACAAAGGGCCCGGGAAGAACCTCTTCCGGGAGATCCAGAAATAACAAATCATCAAACACTTGATTGAATTTTAAGGTCATGCCCCAAGGCTCCAGTCCTACCTCACAAGCTAGACCCTCTCACCCCAGTCTGACCGAACCGAAACGGAGGTCGGAGCCAGAAGTGACAACCAAGTCTCACCCTTCAAATCGACTGGAGCCATGTTCCATTCACACAAGGCCTGGTAAGATATTTAAAACTCAGATCCTTCTCATTCAGTCTGATGTTCCATGTCAATCCCCGAACAAAACACACCCACCTACCCACACCCACACAAACGCTTGAGAAACTTGTAAACTAGCTCGTAAGATCGTAGATCTGTGTGGTATCAAAGATGCGTTACCATTTTATGGTCTGATTACTCCAAAACACGACCTCATAGACCTGCATTGGCCCTGAGCAAATGGAAAGGCAAGGAGTCAGAAACTATATGGTTTATCTCAGGCAAAATCGGTACAGCTTCATGTGTCGAACCCTTTCGACCGAACTTCTACAGCTTCGTTGGCCAACGTAGGAAAAAGAGTCGTTCGCCCTGATGAATGCAGTGTCGCATCGTAAGGAAAAACGAAAGGGGACCAAAAGGTTTCAGTGTGAACACACACACACACCCCATCACACGGGCCGGGGTGAAAACGGCTATCCCTACTGCCAGGAGTGCTAAATCCTGTTCCCAACATCTTTATAACTCACCATGCTTAATGACAAGTCACAACACAACATCAAGAGTTCGCCCCCCCCAACAGCTCACTCCAAGAATGCCCTGCCAAACAAACGAGAACTCATTCACGAAACAACATCAGGCATGGTATGACAAGTAGTGTTGATGCGGGATCAATCGTCTCACTCTAAGCCACAATTGATAGTTTGGCCCTACACACAAACATTAAAACGCAAGATTCTGTTGAATGGTTTATCTTGACGTTTGACCTCAATCTTGCCAACTGAAATCATTGACGTTGCATTGAGTGTTGGTTGTGTTGGCTGTTTTCCACCTGGTCCTCTTATGTCTCCATTAGGCCTAGCTGATCTTTACTTTGCCAAGTGCAGTTTCAAACACGCAAGCTTCGTTTGCGGAATGGTTTGTCGTTGCTTTTTCACACCACTCTTCGCTATATAAGTCCAGCAGTTTGCTCCAATTGAGTGGTGTCAAAAACCATCCGGAACATTTATTAGGATTTCGCCAATCCCTTCGCAACGCTTTCGCGGCTGCGTGTTTTGCCTCCGCCAACCCACTTCACCCGACAACCCCTTTCGCCAAGTTTCTGCTACTTACATCTAAGAAAAGCATCAGCAAAGGGGAATCATTCCTAATCTGCAACCACTGCTTTCGCCACATCTTCGCGAACCATTCGCCAACCTTTCGCCTGGTTATCAGGAATCTTTGGAGACATGCTTTGTACTGAAAACCTCTTCGCCAAACCTTTCGCAACAAAATCCATTCATCAAAAATTCAGAGCCTTTCTCCAAACCTTTCGCCAAGCTTTCCCCAACTGCAGTTTTCCTTTCGCAAAGATTCATAATCTTAAGTCCTACCTAAATTCTTTCGCAAAGGTTTATGACGTTGCTCAATTAGAGACCTGCTGGACATTCCAACTCCTACAAATCGGAAAACATCTAAGCATCTCTCATGACGGACTACATTCAAGTAGCAGGCGTCACTTTTCCGTTCAAACAGTTTGAAGATCTATCAAGAGGACCCAATGAGAAGCTATGAGCCCAGCCAACAGGAAAAGCACTCTAACGTTTATGAAGGGCCCACATCTTAGCCGCGAGCCCCGACACACCTGCACACAAACACTACATAATACATCATAATACTGTACTTCATAATACTACAACCTTAAGAATCCGGGCCCTCAAACACAAAGAGTTTTGAGGGTTCAAACTCCTGTGAAGATGGAGAAGGTCCCACCCCTGCCATGGAGGGAATTGCTGGTGGATCCTCAAGGCATCATCCGCCCATCATCCGCCCACATAGCACGACATCACTCGAAACTTGCCCAAGAAAAAACACACAGCCTGACTCCAGTCAGAACGCTGCACCAAAGTAAGGAACCCACCCATCTAAACCCTCCAAAATCTTAAAGTATGTAGCAAAACCCCCAAGTCGTCGGCCAACCGCCCGCCGCCATCGCCGCCATCGCCCGCCTCTTACGACGCCTGCCTGTTCTGAGCGCCCGCACCTTCGGATCGCCAGAGGTTCCGTTGATGGAGAGCACCCGGTCGTTCGCGTGGATTCGCTTCGAGGCATCACTGGCGCTGTTCCAGTTGGGCACCGCACCGGTGGCCTCGACCGCGGAGCAAGTGGGTGGGAGGCGATGAAGCAGAGAGGTTGGTCGGTTGCGTGGTGTCAAAGTAGAGAGTTCCCAAGGTTGGCAAACGATGTGAGCATATACAGTCAGAGGCTGTTGTAGCATCTTAAACTTGGTTTTAGGTTTCATGGATGCAGCGAAGGACTTGCAGCCCTTCTCTTGGCCAAACACATACAAACACCAATGACTACAACTGATTGCTGGGGTCGTTCCCCGCTTCTGTGAAGTTTGTGAAGCACTGAAACACCCTGTTTGGCACTCAATTCGTTCCGGCCAACACCAAGATAACTTGGACAGGCCTGGGCATCCCTCCGATCAGAACATAACCATACTGGCTCAGGACCGTCGTTTTTCCCACCAATGTTAGATGACTCATCTTCCCTTTCTCTGGCGCTGCCCACTGTTTTCCCGGTCACCTTGACGCTCTTGATAAGCAAGGTCTTGCCATCTGCCCAGTCGACCTCTGAAACAGAGGTCACGAGAACCAGACACCGCGGACGTTCCTGGGGACGAAGAGGTTCCCGAAGATGGATGGATTTCACTCTGCCAAAGATGGATCTAACTTCTGATGAGTGAAATCCATCTGCGAACTTCATGAACTTCATGATGGTCCCAAAGATGGGATGCAGAGTTCTGCCATGAGGTTCGCAGAAGTAGCTATGAAGAAGAATCCATCTCCCAAGGTACCAATTGTCATTGTACAGGGCTGCAGTGGTTCCCATCGCTTGGGGAGGCTTGGCTCGACCCGACTTTCGGAGGGGGCGTAGATGCACCACCCAAGCTCCAAGGGAACGCCTGGTTGAACAGGCCCAGGCAGGCTCCACCCCTAATCCTCCTCTGACACCACAAGAAACAAATCACTGCTCATTGGATTTGCATCAACTAGGTACGGTTCGGAAGGTAACGGTTATGTAAACATGAATATAAGTACATTTTGTGATCAAACGTCTATTTTGATATATCATTATCTTATTGTATATTATACCCTGCAAATTGTGAGACGTCCTCCGCAGGTCGCAAGAGTGGCCCGAAGAAACGTCCTCACATGGTTTGCCTCCCCAAAAAATCGCCAGGGTCGGATCCATCACCTTGCGAGTCGGACTCCATCCTGCTTGGTCAAAGGAGGAAACCCAAGGAAACGAGTCTGGGTCTGCAGTCTGATGGTCGTCTGAAGTTAGGCCTCGCATCGGCCAGATTTCGTCCTTCCCCGCACCCCCGCACCCACCCCCAGGGCCCCGCCTCGAGACCCAGTCCAGGAGCTCCAGTCAGGTCCAACTGAACCGTGAACTCCGCCATGGGGCCTACCATCTGGGGCCCCGGGTGGATGGGGCCCCCGAATATATCTCTAATTATTCAGTGGTGGTGGACTTACACCTGGCCAAAAGTTAATCCGTATGTGAACACCTTTCGGAAATAATTTGCAGCCATGTTTGCCTTGCAGTCTATAAGTGACCTAGTAAGTGACCTTACACGCGTTCCAAAACACAGGTTCAGTTTCACTACAGTGACCTTCTGCTATTTTATTCCTCTTCGATTCCGGTCGCATCAAGTGATCCAACACGCGGCAAAACACCTAAACTTTTCAGATCTCCTTGCGTAGGGGTGATCACATAAAAGCAACCCCAGACTTAAATCTGCTGTCTAGGAGCCTGTGACTTCCAGGACGGCGAGTCCACGCCAGAAGGCAGACCCAGAAACCAAACTTGGAAACTGGATTGACCTAGGCAAATCTTTCTTGTGGACTCTGAAGCTGTAGATAGTGTAAGATATGTGCACCAAAAGGGCAAGTTTGCCTCCTGTTGCAGGTCACTGCTCAGTAGACAGCGAATTGCTCAATTATTCCAGGGTCTACCACATCAAACCCACCCCTGGAATAGTTGAGCAGTTAGCTGTCTACCGAGCAGTGACCTACAACAGAAGGCAAATGTTCGGGCGCAAGTCTTAGAGCTTCCACAAATCTACAGCTTCAGGTCACACATCTCACGTCATCTCACAGCTTCAGAATCCACAACCACGGTGTTTATTGGGCGCCTATGACCCAGGACCTGTGACCTGACAGTTTCTTGTTCCCTGGTCTGGGGTATACTCCCAAGATTTGGTGAGACCAGTTTAGGAATTTAGTGCCGAATTCGGTGTGATTTCTTTGCTTGTCTTATATAATTCCAGGGGTGGCTTTGATGTGATAGACCCTGGTCTTATTTAGCAACTAACTGTCGTCTACTGAGCAGAGACATACAACAGGAGGCAATCTTGCCCTTTTGGTGCACATATCTTACACAATCTACAGCTTCAGGTCACACATCTCATAGGTTCAGAGGCTACAAGAAAGATTTGGCTGGGGCGCCTATGACCTAGGAGCCCTGATCCAGTTCCCAAGTTTGGTTTCTGGGTCTGGTTGCTTTTATGTGATCACCCCTACCCAATGGGGAGCGTTTGGCCCGAGATGGCCCGAGCCACGCTTTTAACACTTCCACAGATCTGACGGTTGAAGGTTTAAAAACGATAGGCGTCATAAGGATCCTTGTGATTCCTGACCCCTACCCTGGAATAATTTATGACGGGAGGGCCCATACTCCGCCTCTGTTTTCGCCGCGACCGGTTGTTTTTCCGTGAATGGAAGGATTGGTGTTTCACCGGCACCGTCCCCCGGCCCACCCGGACACATCGAGAAATGGTGCTTTTGGGACACCAAACAATCAGCCAGCCCACCAGGACACATCGAGAAATGGTGCTTTTGGGCACCAAACGATCAGCCAGGTCATCGAGAGGCCTTGAAACCACTCCAGTTCAAACCGTCGCAAACGATTTGTTGCCACACGAGCCGATGATGACAAAGAAGTCCAACAGTCCTTCGATAGTTTTGGTCTACGTGGACGATCCTCTATAGTGGGATCTTTGTCACAGCGAGGGATTCACGATATTCGAGGAGCACTTGAAGAGTCTTTGAAAGTCAAGACGACTGGCGTGATCACGAGTGCAAGTGGGTAAGGGGGTCGAATCTCGTTCCTTGGGAGAGAAATCATCAGACCAAACCAATCCGATCGACTTTTGGAGAATTGTTTGTTGACGACCCTTTCTGTCAGGACTTGAAAGCATCCCCTGTTCCACCAGATCTTCTTCAGCTACTTGAGAAAGCCCATCGTAGTCCAGAGACAATCACTACTCTCTCTGAAGAAGCATCAGCTAGGTACAAGCGGATTGTTGGAAAGCTTGCTTGGTGGAGCCAGACACGTCCTGATCATGCCAGCTTCATTTCGCTGTTAGCCACAGGACAAAGTGATCCGACGAATGTTCATGAAAACATGTTGAGGAGGTATTTACGGTTTGTTAGAAGCACAGCACATTTGTTCCATCAGTTCCCCGAAGAGAACATGCACATTGACTACTATGACTATGATGGTTTGATCGGAATCTCTGATGCATCATGGGGAAGTAGTGACGTTGAGAAACGAAGGTCGGTCAGTGGTGGCCTCATCATTTGGCGAGGATGTGTCGTGAAGAGCTTCAGCCGATTGCAAGGATGCGTGACACTCTCTTCGTGTGAAGCTGAAGTCGTGGCGGTGTGTCAAGTTGCACAGGAATGCATCGGGCTGAGACACTTAGCCGACATGACAGAACTTCAGAAGTTTTAGCAAGAAAGCTTTGCTGCTATGCAAATTGACCAGATCGGAAGTTCAGGAGCTCGTGAGTACTTTCCAGTTCTGTTGTACTCAGACTCCCAATCATGCATAGCTGTCTTGCAGAACCAGGGATTGTCACATCGTGTAAGGCACATCTCACTGGCCACCTGTTATGTTCAATCTTTGGTAGAAAACGGACACATGGTTTTGGTATGGATCTCAGGCAAATTCTGTAGCGCAGACCTTCTCACCAAGATCTTGAATCGTGATTTGACGGAGTTTCATAGAGAACAGATCGGTATTCACGAAATCAGTGCACCAGAAGCCTGGCAGATCAAATGTGGGAAAGAGTTGAAGAAACGATCCAAACAAACGAAAAACGAAGAGGTACCTGAAACAGATGTTGCTGCCGTACAGCATGATCCAGAGAACGAAACGGTGATGTTGCCAGAAGAGCCATTGTCAACTTTTCCATATGCCAAAATCGCATCGGTTGGCAGTGGTGAGACAGAGTTTGGTTTGAAGCTGCTGAAGATTTTGTCCGACATAGCTGACCAAAAGGTCTCACATGTGATCGTGGAACTTTGCACTTCGAACGAAGACGGATTTTCACAGGTGATTCGAAAAGATTCACATGGTTCCTTGCGGATTGTGCCAGTCACCGAGGAAGACAATTTGAACGCTGTTCAATTGAAGTTGTGTGATTGGGTCGACAAGGTCCTCCGAGACTTTCCAAAGGTCATGCTGATGTGTTGGGCATCGCCTCCGTGTACAGGTGGTTCGCCAGTGATCAACCTGATCCCAGAACCTCGCAGGTCAGAAATCAGAGAGCAGCGCACGGCCGAGTTCAAATCGCTGATCGAAAGTTCCCGAGACGTCATGTTGGGTTGTCACGTCAGGTGTCTCGAACTTGCAAGGCCATGCATGTATTGGAAAGAACCCTTGGTTCAGACGTACTGCCTTGAGGGATTTGAAGCACATCACCATCATCCAGCGCTGTGCATACACTCGGAGCGAAGAGGCCCAAGCGAAACATGAGTTCCGAATTGCTAGCAACTGCATGTTGTTTGATCCCAAGCGCTGTCACTGCAACACCCATTTGCCACTAAACAGCCAGAGTCTTCATGCACTAGGAGTATATCCATTGAAGCTAGTCCAACAGTTGGCCTCTTGGTTCCTCCGGTTGCAGTCTCTCCCTGAGTGAAGACCCCATGGGATAGAAAGAACTGAATTCAATAGATATAATTTCACTTGACTTCATTGATGGACTATGCCATTTGTTGCAGTAGGGTTCGATGATCTCGATGTGAAACACAGCAATAGCCACAGATACCATAATAATAGCTTAAGCACCAGATCTTGAAATTCCATAAAGTGGATACAATTTGTTTCTTTCGAACTTGATTGAGATGGCTCCCAAGTCCCGGATCGTGATCGAGGTGGAATCACCTTCAAAGGTGAGCATCGAACTGAACGTCCATCGCGACGACCATGATCAGGGATCAAGCAGCCATGGCAGCCATGAGTCTGAGTGGCACCATGTGGACGATGGCCATTCAAGCTCACCTCACCCGCCATCGTATTCGCCAGGTGAGCCGCACCCGCCGGAAGACGTTCCGGCCATTCGCTATGTGTTCACTAGGAAGACTGGTGAGAGGACCCACAAGAGAGAATGCATGACACTTCGAAAACACTTAGATGGATCCTTGGTGACAGATCCTTTGTGCACGAAGCGCATGCCTCTTGGCCTTGTGTCGCAAGATGGCAAGGTAGGATTCTCTTTTGAGTTTAGCACTTGCATCGTGTCCGAGAGACTGGTGAATGCGATTGCCTGCTCGCCATCGACTTGAACCGAGTCTTCAAGCCTTGCAAGCATTGCATCCACATCCCGTGAAAGCATGCATAAGAGTACGGCTCATAACCACTAAGCCGTGTAAAGTTCATAACCTTTCGTACAGTGCTTGGTGACATAACAGTGTTTGGTCGAGGGGGGGTGTGAAATAGTGACACCAAAGGTTCCCTCATAGTGTTCGCCCAATCCTCTTCAAGCCACTCTGTTCAGATGCAATGCATAAGGGTTCACGCCTGCGGCTGCCAGAGCCGTTTTTGGGCATGAGTTTTTGCAAGGATGACACGCACAATAAAGTGTACCATCCCAAGCACTCTCGAGAGCACAAATCGAGAAAGTGTACCAAGTTCGTTGAAGTCGAACCTCGCCATGACTGACTGGTCATTGGCTCAAGTTCACGCGAGAAAACCGCGCGTGGGCGCTGGGCGGTGGGCGTGTCGGACAGTCGCGTCCGAGCATTCGCGTTAGGTTTGAGGTCTCATTCATTTGGTTCGACGTTCACGTTTTTCGGAACTGTTCACGAGAGTTTTAACTTTCATAGGTGGTGGTGGTGGTGGTGGTGGTGGCGCAAACAGTTTCAGTGGAAGTGCCGCAACCTGCCGATCATATCCCATTCATAGAGGCAATCCCTAACAACGTAGAGAAGCATTCCATAATTACACGGATGGTCTGGGTGGACCCGGTGCTGGGTAATTCTCCTGGATAGTTTGTTTGAGAGAAGAGGTTTTTGTCTATTTCAATCTGTTTTCAAACAGTTTCAAAGCCCTTTGAAAGCCCCTTTCCCAAAGTGCAACAAAAATGTCCGGCATCACCGCCCGACGGAACCCGGGGCACCTTCATGGCAGTGAAGTGGGCCGCATCCGCAATGAAGTGGCCGGCCGCACGGCGGGAAGGGGAAGTGAGAGATATGTGGGACATACAAACCATGGATTAAGAAACCCAACATTAATTAGAGTCTACCTGGCATCAAATTTCTTATTCAAACACTTGGAATTAAGCAATATTCTAGACTCTATCGACAAAAAGGTGGTTTCTTATCACCAGCCTCAGCCGTACTCAAATTGGTGTCTACACATGCGATCACAAGATCCTTAGGCTGAAGCCAGGTATCATTCTAACGTTGGATCAGCAAAAAGCTGCACATTAATATTCATCCAACCTCCAAACGGCTTGCGGCAAAGAGGACATCTAGGAATGTCAGCCGTGTTGAATTTCTCCGAATAGGTACGCCAGCATGCTGGCATGGCCCGAACACCACAGAACTATCCCGGGCTTCAGCACCTTCTTCGCCACTCTTAGAAACACTAGCTGTGAAACCAGTTCTTCTGGCTTGCTGCTTCACGAAATCAAATGAATGACTCAAATTGTGGACTCTATGGTCTACGATTCACTTGGCAATTGCAGCCTTCGAAGTCTTGCAAATGCAGCATCTTGAAGTTGACCTCTCCGTTTCTTGCTTCGCTTCAACCAGCAACTTCTGCAGCACTGCAATGTCTTCGTCCAACTTGCTCGCCTTGCTCGAGTTCTGCAAGTTCTGTTGTTCAGTCAACGTCGAGTCAACTAAGCTGTGAAGTTCTGGGATCTGACAATCTTCGCGATCTTCTCCCCTTTTAATCATTTCAGGTATCATTCTTGCGCTGCTTCGTCCTCGAGGCATGCACGGCTGCCTCGTCTTCGCAGCTTCCTTACAGGAATGGATGTTCGTCTTGTTACGAAATCGCTCTTCATTCGAATCAACCAACAGCGCCTCCAATAAGAAAGGGGAGCACCTTGGAATTCCGACTATTTTTTGGCACCACTGCACCACTCAAGAAAAGGACATTCCTTTTCGGATCACCTACAGACCGTTACATGGTCTTGGAATGTCTTGGACTCCCAGGCTATATACTGTGGTGTTTTGTTTCTTCTCTACCTTCGACTTCAGGAGCCCCGACCAGCAGCCCAAGGACCTTTTCTCGAGCTCAGGATTCGGCGCTTGAATCGCACGAGCCAACTTGAACACAGGAGAACCGGAGGGTCCGCAGGCTTCGCAGGGGTTCGAACCGTCGAATGACTCCGATGAGCGCGGAACCAAACGGTTTGGCTGATGAGGCTGCTAAGTAACCCCGCCAGCCGGGATGGAAAGCGAGACAGGGAAGCGAAAGAGACCACCAGCTTCTGAGAAGCAGAAAACGTCCGAATGGCCCGAAGCCCTAACCACTGGTGGTCTTAATCCTTGATGTCTGTTAATGTCCTCCACCAAAAATCAACTATATTTGTTTTTAAAAACAAAAACAGGCTCCCCATGTTTTCCAACGAACCCCGCTATATCAGGGGGTAGCAAGCGCTGAACACATCCACCAACCGATCGCCACCTGGTCCGTGGACCTGAAGAGTGGGCAGTCCTCACGAAGCAAGCTGTGCAAATCCAAGAGGGTGGGGCGTAGGTCTGTCCTGTTACAATAGGTCATATACGAAGATGCTTGCTTGAAATGAACCCGGATCCCTAGTCCCATGGCGGCCTCGAGTGATCTATTCGCTTCATTTTGCGGTGCCCCGGATTTGACCCACAGCCATATTGATCCAACTTGTGCCGTGTTCCGTCATTTTGTTCCTCATCCCAAACCGCGAGTGTCCGGACATTGCCTTTCCGGATACGGGACGACACGATGCATCAAGGAATTCCAGCATGAGACCTGTGCGGGGGGTTATTCTGCATGCCCAATATTGATGTGCCAACAAATCCAAGACCTGATTCCTGGTTCTTCCTAAGATCATGCTTTAAAGACTCAATCCCAACTTGATATCTCTTGATCCTCCCTGCCTACGGCCCTGCGACCCGAATTCAACGGAGTCCAACAACACGACCGACTTCAGCGGCCCCTCCAGTGGCAAGGCCTGGTCAAAAGGGCCTTCAACAAGGTTTGCAGGAAGCCTTTCCCAAACACTTCATATATATATATACTTATGTATTTATATTATGTATTAAATTATATGCCTTATATGCATTATTCCGCATGCCTACATTGACCCCTAAAACCACCCCAATGTATGTAAATATGCCGTGCATTGGAGTGTCCGGGTTTGCTTCGTCAAAAAATCAACTATTTCGATTCCTGCAGTAGAAGTCCATGAAGAGTAGGTTCCTGACATACCAAACTACTAGTAGGCAAAGGGTGTCCTCCAGGCACGTTGATTCACTGCTGCCTTAATCATCTAATGTTGGATGCTGATTAGTACACCGGTCCTCAATAATGCTAAATTGTTCCAAAATTATTCTGGACCCCATGATTGAAAAAGTGGTTGTGAATAATGCCAATTTTTTTGGGGGGGACCCTAATTTCTTATATTGGACACCTAATTAATGAGGGTTTGAATTCCTTCTGAGGCCAATGATTATGATTCATTAGCTGATATAGGTTTCTCTAGGTTTCTTCAAAACTGACAGCTTTCCAAAACCACCAATTCCTAATTAAACCCTTTATAAGACATTGCTCCTAAACAAATGTTCAAGGTAGTAGACCAGGAAGGCACCTGATCATCAATAATAGATTTGTTTTAG